AGCCAATGGCGTAAAATATATGTAATTTGTTTGTTTACTTGTGTGTGGTAGTTTTAATTAATTTTATACCTCTGAGCTCTGCACTCTGTGCTCTGTGCAGAAGCTCTGCCCTGCTCCCTCCTGCATATGTGTAGGTGTGCCAATATTTTATGTCTGCCTACAAATCGGCAAATCGGTATTTATGTGCAAATATACGGTAATGTCCGTGGTTATGTTGTTGTGTGTACGGCAACGCCTGTGTGCTATGGCTAATTTAATTAGAGCTTCAACTCTTTGAAAGTTGACAGCTTATGCTGGCACATAACTGTCTGTTTACCTACGCTTACCTATCGACATTAATGTACGTTATTACCAGTTGGCTCACATTTTGTGGAAGCGAATGGCATATCGTGTTTAAAATTTAAATCAACAGTGTACCATTGCATTTGTCTCCATTGAATTGAAAATTGATCCGATATTGGTCAATGGAAATTTTTTAATTACTTTCATGCAGAAAAGCAGTATGTGCACATTAAATGCGAGTACTACTATGCTGTGAATTACATATTTTCTAGACGTGTTCTGCACACAAACTATATGTATTTATATCCCTATTAATGCTCAGAGCATTGATGGTAATACCTTGCCCATGTTAGTAATCGCATTATGTGCTTCTAATTAATTCTACTTCAAAGTGTAGGTACTAATGCAAAATGATAATCTTAGATATGCAAAAATAATTTTTCAAAACTTTAATGCTTCGCTAAATGCATGTGTACTGAGTTTAAATTGTATTAAACTTAATTAAATTTAAAAACTGGAATTTCAATAAAATTATAAAATGCTAATTTCAAGAGACGGTGGAAAAAAAATTATTTTTTTTTAGAAATACTAATATCGTCTTTTTCGTAAACTTATTACTAGTGAATAGATATACATTTTTGCCTGGGATATGATTCCTCAAATTTTCCTCTCTTTATGTCAAAAAAAGAATCTGTAAAATCATTTCAGGAAATATTTGGAAAATCCATCTTTTTGTCAGGAAACGAATTGTATACCTATAAAGAATCACAATTATTTAATTGTTTATATACACATATATCTTAAATATTAAAATGGTGTCAAGTAATTATTTAGTTAAATTAAGTAAATATTTTAAGTATAATAATAATTATGAAAAAATAAAAATTATTTTTATAGATATGATTGTTAATTATAATTTATTATAGAGATTTGTATTATATTATATTATATATTATATATATACTTTTAATACTTTTATTATTTTTAATTTATTAATTTATTATTATGTATGTTAATAACAGTTTCATAAATTAAAATCTGTAATCTGTAATAATATATATAAAAGCGATTATTTTTATTAACACGATAATTAATTTTAATTTATTATACAGGTTTTTAGTATTATACATTAAAATAGTATTATTATTATTAGTTTTAATTTATTATTATAAATTAATATTATAGTTTCAAAAATTATTATTGTATTTATAGTATATAATATCTATTATACATTATGGTATTATTATAGTAATTATAGTATTTATTGACAGATTATATTTTATATGCGAGTAGTAGATTAAATATAAATGTTGAAACATTTGCATTATATTTATTTAATCTTATAATATATAGAATAAATTATTAATAAATAATAAATAATATAGTAATTATAATTTATTTATTTTAAATAATTTTTTTTTTTTGGATTTTATTTTTATAAAAATTTTATTATAATTATTTATTAATATAATAAGCATTTATTTTTATTTATATTAAAATCAGGGTAAATATAAGCTTTCGTAAAATTGTTACGTTTCTAAGAATAACATTGTTTAATTTTTAATACCAACAATTAAATGCATATTTATTTAACTACTTAAAATATTTGAAAAGAGACTTAAAGAATGAAAATCAAATCCTACAAATTCTCCACAATTTCAATCATAAAAAAAAGCAAATTATAAAATGGCGCGCTTTATAAAAATCATAAAAAAAAATAAACAAAATGGCCGAATAACTCAGTTCAGTTAACTGCTTTTGAAGACTTAATTACTTCTAATACACGCACACATATGCAACATTCAAGGATACTGCACACGCACTCCAAGCTACACACTAACTGAATCAATACAATAATTTTTTTTTAATTTTTTTTATTTTTTTATTTTTTTCTTACAATGAAATTATAAATAAAACAAGCAGAAAATTAAAATAAATTTTTTTATTTTTATTTCCTATCGAAACTCATACATTGATACCTAAATCCCGCTCGTTTATCATTGGGTCTTAAACATTCAGGTAACATTGGCGACGGTGGTAGTAGTGGTCTCAGTGTTGGGATTGGTAGTGTTGGTGTGCATTCCGTGGTCTCGCCAGGAGACGTGCAAGTTCATGCAAACGTAAGAAGAACTCAAAAGTTTTACAATTTTTCTTTGTCGTTTCATTTGAAGCTTTTTTACTGGATTGATTTTACTAACCTTACGCTTTGGAATTTTTTATATATAAATCAGAAGCAAATTATTTATTTACTTGGAATGTGATTTATATAATTAATTAAATTTTTTTTTCTTTTTCTCTTAATTTTTAAAATTGCACTTTTTTAATTATTTTAAGCAAATTTTTTTCAAAACTATTTTTTGTAATTTTTTATTTTTATATAACGAATTTGTAACTAATATATTAAAAGATGTGTTTATGTGTGCGTGACTAATTTAAATCGCTAATTAATATCAAAAAAAAAAAAATATTTGTAAAAATTAAGAAAGTAAGAAATTTCAATTATTTATGCAGTCAATTATCTCGCTATCCTTCTTTCTATCTTCTCTTCAACTCTTTAGAACACTTTATTCTTATATAAAAAAAAATTAAATTTATTGTAAAAATTGAAATGAAAATGTGGAAAATTTGCATGGAAATCGTAACGCTGTACATTTTTTTATTGCACACAACTTAACAATTTCAGTACATAAAACACTATAAATTTCATAGAACTTTTTATAATCAAATATTATATATGTATTATAAAATGTTTATATATATTATATTATTAAAATTTTAATTAATATGTAGTACTTAAAATATTATAAATAACATCAAATGAATTTGATGAAAAACAGAATGAAAAAGAGAGTCAACATTAAAAAAGATTTGGAGATTTCAACATAATCTTCTCCTCAACATAATCTTTGGTAGGATTGAAAGTCAAAGCCGGGACCGGGAAAAATTTCTTTAACTAGTCGTTAAAATAGTTTAATTATTAAAATAATCAATTAAGACCAAGAAACAGTACTCTTCTAATTTGATTTGTGAAGAAATAACTTAACTGGTCATACTATATGGATCTACAATCTTCTCTGCTGAGAATGTGGGCTCTTTTTAGCCTATAAGTATGTAGTCTTGTAAAGATTTTTAATTGAATCGAACATGAAGATGGCACGGGGTATTTATTACATTGTGGAAAAGTGTATTATCCCATGGGCCTTCGTATCATAATGAATTGTTATGAATTATATCTCGATAACAGATACAGGAAACCCCCCTCTCCCAACTGTTTAAAAATTGTGGTGATCGTTGCTATGTACTTCAGCAAAATTGGGGACTGTTGTATGTTTTCCTCTATGGTAGAGTATTCTATCCATCTCAATTAATGTGTTTTGTACTCCCAATGTACTTTTTCAGCTTTATTAATAATGAATCGATGTTTAAGCTGATATCTGATTATTCTAACATAAACAAAATATGTTTTATTTGCTACTTAAATGTGGTGTTAGATATTTGATCATACGGAATAGATGAAGCCACTTACTGCCACTTATTCTTCGTAGTTGTCCTTTATTTCTGCTTCGTGACATCATTATTTAATTAATGATAAGACTAAATTCAAGCTAAATTATCTGTTTACATTCACTTAAAAAAATTCTTGAATATAACTCTTGAGGCAGCAGAAGATCCCCCGGGCATTTACGCAATACAAGGAAAAGGTAAAAAATACCGAACTGCAATGATTTGCGAAGACCTGAAGTGAAATTAAGCAAATGGCAAAATAAATAGCTTTATTATGCTCTACTTAAAGATTTAATATATCAGTTACTGTGGTTAATGGACACAAATATGAACTTTTTATTGAGTCCTTTTACAGCAAATGCTATATTTGGATACTATTACCATATTTGTCTAATAGCTAACGAATAGTGTCTAAATGTTTATATCATACTCAATCTTTTTTTTTTGAATTTTGCTGTGGGTCCCTAGTCGTTCCATTTACCGATTATTATACTTCATAAAAAAGGTATTATAATGACATATCTATAGATCATTTTTTAAACATTTTGAAAAGGTAAGGTATGTGTACATTTGAATCCAATAAGTATTTAAAAATAATTAGTCTATGTATATATATATACTGGTATTGGAATAATATGAAACTAACGTTTTGAAAACAATTCTTTGACTAAATGCACAGGTATATATTATATAAACCAATTTGTATAGAACTTAGTACTGTAAGTTCTACCAGGTGTTTCTGACTTAAGAGGTATAAAGCTATATATAAATAGAATTATAGTAATAATTATTTATTTTAATTTCTAATAAATCTTTAGCCAAAACTATGGTTTTTTATTGCAGTCATATGTTTTTTAAGATATTAGAAAAATTTTTGATTACATTAATATGCTTCAAGATTATTGTTGCTTTTTAAATGGTATATCAGTTAACTTCAAAGTATTTGAATTTTATTTATCTTACTGATATAACGAGTCTAATTTAGGTATTTCTATTTAAAATGTTTATATTTTGATCATTTCTATTCATTTTTATTTGTACTCCTTCATACTTTTTATCTTGATTTGTAATAAAATAAAGACAACGACTCCAAAAAATTACATCCAATATAGTGCGCGAAGTTCCTAATAAGATTCTATTAACTAAACAAAATTTGCTAACTAAAATTTTACAAAACCTTGGCCTCACACAAACGCTTAAAAATTTCTCAACAGGACTACGTGAACCTTGGCGTCAGCAGCGCAGCCTTAATGAACGTGACTTACTTAGCGTTAGTAATTCATACACAGATTATCGACTAACCAACAACAATCGACTATATTCATCGGCAGATCGTGACCGATACGATTTGCATCGTGAACGTCTCGAACAGTATCCGCTCACACGTACCGCGCGTCTCGATGTACAGCAACGTAATACATTTAATCGCACAAATCACGATCGGCAAACAGCATATAATTCCATTACTGGACTCTATTCAAGGCGGGCACCGCCATTAGCTACAGCCACCGCAACCGTTAGTGGTAGCAGCAGTAGCAGTAATAGCAGCTACCAAACACAGCAGCATCCAAAAATTGTGATAGGCGATAAGGCTTATGAACGATACGGTATATCGGCAGCAACGAACGCATTGGCTTCAACAACAACAATCAAGGGTGAGGGGGGTGGCGAGCGCAGTTTAACTGGTACATTAGGTCGTGAACGTAGTCTTGCTGTAGATAATTATTGGGACGAAACAATTCCGAATACAATAACTGGTGGCGGCAAAGTAACAGCAACAAGTGCGGCGCAGGATTCACGGCGTTTCACTGAGCGTAGAATAAAGAAAACGGTACGTTTCGATGGGCATGATGATGCACTTGCATCAACTGGTGTTACCACATTACCACCAGTTACAACAATATTGCCATCAACAGCTGTGGAAGTGGGTGCAGCAAATATTTTGACCAGTGCTAAATTAAATGCCAACAACACTGCCAGCAATAATAGCAGCAACAGTATTTTAGATACAACCAACGATTGGTCGTGCTGGGATGCCGAACGTCAAGGTAGCCAAGATTCAGCTACAAAAGATTCGGGAATTGATACAAGTAGCACATTCACTAGCAGCGAAGACTCGAATCGTGGTGATGGGCCAAAGGTATACAACTAGTAACGTTTGGGTATCTGCAATAAGTAGACCCAACCAAATTATTTTTCTTTCATATTTTATTAAATTTTTTGTTAGTTTTTGTGTTTTCTTGGTTCTCACTGAAAGCTACTAACTCAATCTCTACTAATAAACTTTACTAAAGCACTTCACTTCTCTGAACTTGCGACCTTTTGTATATAACTGAACTTCTAAGTATTTTCTACTATCTTACGTTTGTTGGAATCATTATTCACTTTATGGTATTTTGTTAACACATTTTTGATTTATTTAATAATTTTTTTTTAGACATGACGGAATAATATGTGTTGTGCATTTTTTTATGTATAATATTTAAAATAATCCCTATATAAGCCCTATATATATATATAAATACATATTTAATTATATAAGCATTAATTTCTTAATATATTAGGTTAGTTCCCGTATTGTCTATATACCCACAATTCGATGTTTCCTAATGCATACGTCTTAGGAAACTTGAGGAAAACAACACAAACTACACCTACATAATCGCACCTAAATATTTTTGCTTATGAATGGAAAACTTGATGTATATAAATATAATATGCATGCTGCATATAATATAGTTTATTTAAAATTTTTTATTTATTTTTGTATTATATATCACTTTTTTAAATACATAATAGTTTTTATTTTTCTATAAAATTATATATAAATTAAAAAAAAAAATATTATAACCCTTGTTTTATAATAATATATAATAAATTTGATCACTATTTTGATTGATATATTTATGTAAATAAATACGTATATAAAAACGTATATAAATATTTTAACATATGTATCCATACACACAAATTAAACCATCATTATACATTCCTCTCTATGATTAAGTTTGCGAAATTATAAAACTTGAAAAAATGAGATGACATATATCTCATAAAATATATCAAAAGAAAATTCTACGTTTATATATATATTATACAAGAATGTACCACAATTTACAACCGAACTTAACATCATCTTAATCAAAAAGTTTCATGAATTTATTTAAAAATGAAATGATCAGTTTATCCTCGATTGTGGATATACTCTTCTTTCGACATATAATCCATTAACTTAAGGGCATATTTGCCTGTGCTTAATTCAATCCTCTAAACATTTTTATATTAGCAGTTTTATATACCCATCAAAGCCGCGGTAATCAAATCAGACGATTTTTCAGTGACTTAAATGGTGTCCGTACTAAACTTGTTCCAAAGTGTACTAAAGTGGATGACAGTTTGTGAAATTGAGTTATGGTGGTGCAAAATCGATTACTTCTTTCCCCACCAATCCGGTATTTTTCGACAAATTGCATCACGGAAACATCTCAACGTGCACACAATAATCTTTATCTGATTTTTTGGCAAGATGCAGAATACCATTGTAATCTTTAAAAACCGTGATAAGATACTATTTTCTTTTTGAACTGAAGAAAATATGATTTTTTCGGTCTTGTCTCATCCAGTGAACGTCACTCACTCGCCTAAAGCTTGAATTGGATGTCGTGACCATAATCACAAGTCTCGTCTTCAGTAATTATACGTTTAATGATTGTTGGATGGGATTCATTTGTTGAATTTTTAGCTTTCATAGTATTACTACGGTACTTTTCCTTTATGAAGCTTAAGTCTTTCGGTACCAGTTTTACAGTGACAGATCTGAATCCCAATTTATGTAAAGATTCTTGTTATTACAGACAATCCTCAAAGATATCCTGCGGAAAGGCATTTAATGACATTGTATTGACAAAGTTTAAGCAATGTTGAGAAATAAAAAATTAATCAAAATCTTAGTTTTATTAATGTAACTTTTTTATATAAATATATTTTCAAAGTCAAGTAATTGCTTCTGTCTTTATCTCATTCCTTTTAATAACAGTTGCTACAAATCAAAATCAGCACTATATCAAGATAGTTTCAATATATTATTGAGTAATCAAACCCAGAATACAAAATAACTTTTTTTATTTATTTGTTATAAAATATCACACGTCTATAATAAATATCTATAATTTTTTAAACTAAGATCTCATGCTTTTTATATACTTTGGCACATTTCAGATTTAATCACATTTTTTATATATATCAATTTCAGTTGTAGATCTATGCATGTCATTTATCTCTCTGCTCTTAAATGTTGCTTATAATCACTTTTTATATATAATATTAAACTTTTATATGTATTTTTTCAAACATTGCACATATAGCTTTATATATATATGAATATGTGTTATGTTGTAAATAAAGTTTGTATTATGTGTGTGTTCTCAAATAATATTTAAAAATATAATTACATTATCTATAATTATTTACTTCAAAATGATTTCTACAAAATATTACTAACAAAATGGTAAATATATACTTAATTTATATATACTACTTTGCTTTACTCAACTGCGCTACTCTATTTACTATATATGACATATTGTTATTTTATAAAACTAACCATTTGTAAACTATTATCCTTGTATGTATGTATGTAAATTTAAGTAATTATTTAACTAAACTTTGTGAAATTCTATCAATTGTTTGTGTATTTAAAATATATAAAAAAAATTTACTTTTAAGCAATTGTATTAAAAAATTAGTATATAAAATTGTTATCTTATATATGTAACAAATTAATTTAAAATGATAAACATTTCTCATTTATCATATGCGTAACTCCAACTTTAAAACCCAACCTCCCAAACTTACAAATGTTATATCCAACTCAAAAAAAAAAAAAAATACCAAAAAAATTGCAAATTAAACATCACACGTGCCTTATTCCATGTGCACATACCCAACATTCCCAATGTTGTCACGAAAAATCCGAACACATAAACTCGAAATTCGAAATCGAAAACCGAAATTAATAGCACCCAGTAAATTGGCAAAAATCAACGGATAATACTCGTATGATCGGTCATATGATATTGCGTAAATATTATGATGGCGAGGATATTCTAGGCTTAAAAATAAACGGCGGTCAGGCCTTGTCTGGCAACGGCAGCAATGGCAGTAGCGGTGGTTGTGGTGCTATAGTGGAAAAGGTCAAACGCGGTTCAGTTGCTGATCTTGAAGGACGTATACGACCAGGTAAACATAAAATAACACAAGCACACATACTCACTACTAAACATCCTATTACATTTATGTATACATTGCTATCTTTCTAACTTTCCACTATCTAAACTATTTTCATCCACCATCATCAGGCGACGAAATAATCGAATGGAACGGTCAAAGTTTACATAATAAAACCGCTGACGAAGTCTACGATATTATTGATGAGAGCCGTTTAGATGCTCAAGTAGAATTGATTGTTTCGCGACAGTTAACACATAGTAGTGGCGGTAATAGTTCAGCACCGAGTGTACGAAAAACATCGCAGCCCAGTAATATTTTACCGAATAGTAATATTGCTAGTAATATCGCCGGTAGTGCTGTGGTCAGCAGCGGTGGTCGTTATGTGCAGCGAAAAGGTACATTTTATTTTAATATTTATTAGAATAAGAATAAGTTTTAGTTTAAAATTAAAACTTTTAAACATTAGTGACATTGGTTTTAAATACATTTATTGTAGAATTGTTAAAAATTTTTCTATTAATTATTATTATTGTATATCTAATATAATTAGTGCTTTCTTTGTAGTGTTGGCTTATTTTTTAACATATCGATTCATTTATTATTTTCTTGTTAAAATAAATTATTATACATAATACAATTAGCATTTTTTATTTTTTTTGTATTTATTTTTAATCATGATATTATCAATTGAATATTAACAGAAACGTTAATATTATTATTTTTATATGCAAGACTTTACAAACACAACATTAAATCACTTTCATCTAAATATTATTCATTAATAATAATATATATTCTATATATACATATATAATATAAATATATATCCATTTATATGAGTTTATAAATATATATTCTATGCAATATAGTTATAATAGAGTTAAGGTTTCGAGACTATACATTAGTATACCAAAGTAGTCAGGAGTTTATATCTGCGTTCATTTGATCAACACTTATTATGTGTTAATAATTAATAAAAATTAATTGTTTAAAAATGATATAATTATGTTTAAAATAATAGGTATAGTAGATAACTTTGAAAAATTGCTGTGGAATATTTAGATATGTTATTTGAAAATTCATAAAAAAGATATTTAATATTAAATATAGAAATGAGTAATCATAATTACAAAATAAAAATTAAAGGAAATTATTTGAAAAAATTTATGTGGAATATACATATATATGAGTAATCACAAATACCACTAAAATAAATTATTTTTCTGAGTAATCCCATTAAAAAAAAATTTGTTTTACATAAATTAATAAAAAAAACAATAAGATAGATATATAAATGAGTAATCACAAAAATAAAAAAATTATTTTTTAATATAATAATGCCTCTATAAACAGAATAGTATTGAAATTTAACAATTAAAAATAAAAATATAATTAATGAATTCAATTATTCTACAGCTGGTTTATGATTTCATTCTAATATAAACACAGCAAGTAAATTTGTTAATAAAACTTTCAGAGCAAAATAACAAAACCCCAGAAAAATTAGCGAACACAAAAAGTCAAGTACGACTTTGGATCAGTTGGTAAAGGAGCGCTGACTCTGAGCTTCTAATTTGGCAGGGCAAAAGTTCGATTCCTGGTACTTGCAGTCTCACAAAAATTATTTACGAATAATTAAATACAAGAATTACTTTCAAGACCACTGATGATGTTTATTTGGCAATACTCTAAACAGCTGTATGGTCAGTCAATTCAATCAAATAAAATAATATAAAATGAATTTTTGTTGTTATAGTTCACTACTGTTCGAAAAAAAAATCTTTATAATTTTTTTAAGAAATTGAATGAATTAAGATTGAATATATAGATCAATTATATAAATAATAATAAAAAAATATAAAACAATATCTTAAGAAAATTATTTAAAAAAATTGGAGTAGATTATATGAGAATATATGAGAATAATTTTCTTTAAGAAAATTAATGAATAATAAATTTAGGTGGAATATATAGATAACTAATTACATATTCACAAATATATTTTATATATTATATAGAAGCGTAATCAGATATCCAATAAAAAAAATGTTTTAAAAAAATTAGCATGTTGCTTACAGATGAATAATCATATACACAAAAAAAAAATTTGATGAAATTAATAAAAGATAAGTAATTTTATGTGGTGAAAGAATTTTTTAGGTGAATATTAAAAAAATTATGGTTGAATAAAAAAATACATAATCAGAGAGAAGTTAATATAATTTAAAGCTTAACCTTTTTTAAACACTATTCAAATTGATTTATATGTTTTGATAATTGTTCTCTTATTTCACTAATTTACAATAGCTTCTTATACTTTCATATTGCTATAATAAAACTTACTTTGCCTTACCATGGATCTATCGAATGGTCATTGTTATCTTAGATATCGTTTTTTTGTTATCAGTTGTTAAAAGTTTTAGTATAACTATATTTGAGGTGATAAGAACGATTTTAAACAGAGATAGAACCCTTTAACATCCCTGTAACAGACAAAAATTTTAGTTTATTGTAGCAAAAGAACATCAACATTGTAAAATGGATTACGGAACAAACTAACTTTTTTTCATGCAAGACAAATGGCTTAGTATACTCAAAAAAAAAAACAAAATTCAATTCTTTAACAATAAAAAATGTGAGGACACTCACTGTATCTTAATAGATATAATGTAAGAATTATATGCAAAACCATTATAGTGCGTTGCAGCTGTAACTTCCAGTTTCGAAAATTAGACATTTCTTAATCTGAGCAATAAGTATCCAACTAGATATTAACTCTATTCTCAGCTAGAGAATTGATGATTCAAAAGCGGGAACAACTAGAGAAATACTATAATGGAATTAGACTCGAAAAACTGTTCAACTTTCGTTACTAAGATTAATAGATACACAATAGAATCATGTAGGATGGCTTTTCTTTTATAATCAAATCAATAATTAAGAAAAATCCATTAATCATACCTTTTGTTTCAAAGCTTATGAGGCTATCATATTACTTATATTGATATATTCATGAACAAACCCATGAACAAACAAACTCTCATCTCAAATATATCCTCTTGAATATATCTAATTCTCTAAATTGAAGTGCTTTGTTTAATAGACAGTTTCTTTACTTATTGCTCCTTAGAGTTGAATTTTAGACCTAAATCTCTTATAGAGATTAGAGTCGCATATCGAGATGACGGCGTAACGCTCATACATCTCACATTTACATATTTCACATTTACATAGTAGTAAGCATTTTTAACATCTTTTAAGTTTTTAAGTATCATAAAAAAAATGTAAACTACATAAATATAAATTTTACTGAAGATTAAAAGTCATAATATCTCGTAATTGGTTCATCCTTATCTCGTAAATTGACTAGAGCATTTTGATGTAGGACTGCTCGCGCATTTGGTACCGAATTGCTTAAAAATATTCGATTGTCATACGGTGTTGGAACTTTTGCTAATATATGTATTTATATAGAATAAATAGAAAAATAAGATGAAACATAAAACAGTACATATATCATATTTTAAAGATGCTCGAACATTTTCAAATATTTCAAGTTTTACATGTAAATTTTCAAAACCTCGTATATTCGTTCTGCTCAAGTATGGCAATGCTAGAACTCTTAGATTACTTTTAGCTTGATTGATATTAATATAGCATTTATTAGTTTTAGTCATGTGTATTAGGAAGATATAGTCATATCTGTTCCTCAGAAGAAGTCAAATAAACTTACAAATATCGGTTATATTTATTTAGATAATTATATGAAAATAAAATAGAAATAAATTCCAATGAAGTTTTCTTAAAAAAGATTCACATAAGCCTCTTTTAAAAACAGAAAAAGAAACAAATAGTTTATTAAAAATATTGAAAATGAGATTTTCCACATAAATCATTAAATATTAAAAAAAAAAAAAAATTAATTATAAAGCACCATAATTTCCAAACCTATTTAAGTCCAAAAACATGTTCCACAGCAAATAAAAAGTTGTTTTATGGGAAAACTTATGATGACTTAAGCTTTATGAATGAAACATTTTGAGATATTGTAATTTATATTACTGAAAACAGTTCTTTTGATTCTCGGACTATGACGTCAGTCTCCGAAAATAATATATTATAAAACGTAGCACTATATTTAAAAAGACAGTAAGTAGTAGAGTTATCAGTACTTATCTGTTCTCTCCGTTCAGTACCCAAGAAATATTGTTATAACAAGTTAAGATTTTTAACATTATTCGTTATTTTTACTCTATTGAAAACATTGCAACAATGAGCAGTATTGGTTGTTAGAATTCTTTGGAGTATTTAGTGCTAATTTAGTGCTAATTAGATCACGTTAAAGCATATCCCTTTTCATTGTATGATAATAATTAAATTTATTTTTATGATTCGTTAAAACGAATGAAATTTAATCATGAAAATTAAGTAACGAATGCAAATATTAAAAGTAATAATAGGGAAAAGTAATGAAGTTTAGGAACACTATAGAAGTTAGATGCCAGATCAAAGTTAGATGTTGAGGTCTTACTATTTATTGAAATATAATGACAGTTTGTTAATAAAAAGATCATAAGCCGTTTTCATATCGGCTCGAATTTTCATTTTATACCTCACTTTTCTTTTTATTAAATAGATTAAAAACTGATTTTATTATTTTTATATAATTTAGGAGTATCTTTTGTGCTATAATTGCCCACTATACTCATTCATAGGAAATTATGCTTCATTAATTTCATTAAAAAATCTTTCATTAATATTAATCATTAACAAATTGTTTGCAGTTTATATATAAAGTATAGTAATATATAATATATATAAAGTGTATCAGAGTATTCTTCATATTTATATCTAAAAACGTTCCCTTCCTTAATATATATAACGTAGTTCTCATATAACAACATGAACATATCTCCATCAATACACTGATGTATAAGTGCTCATTAAATATCAAATAAAATACTGTGTATGTCAAAATAATCGTAATAAAACGAAATATATTAATTCAAATATAGATTACGAATTTAAGCAAATTAATGTAAATTGTAATAATAATCACTTAAATTAATTTTAAAATTAATATTTAATAGTAATAATTACAATAATAATAAACACTCTTTTCCTTATATGTTTTTTCTTTAGCACCGACTGTCGATGCAATAGAAGTTCATCGTGATAAGCCCAGCGTTTTAATAACCTCACCGGGCTCACCGGATTTACATGCCACCGGTGGCAGCGGCAGTGCGCATAGTTTGCGTCAAACGAATGTACAGCACCAACGCACATACCCAGCTGGAACACACACACATCACCAACAACACCTGCAAAACACTTCCACACAACAACATCCACATCCACAACCGCAAACACAACAACGACTGGGACCAACGAACGCAGGTGCAAGCGTACATAACTCACAAACCACAACGACGGCGGGCCATCATCATCATTGCCACCAACCACCACCGTCATCGCATACGCACACACATAGCGTCGGCGCTGCACATCATGGAACCGCGGTACCATTGCCAGTGGAAGGTCGTCTACAGCTCAAATTGGGCTACGACCAAAATACACTGCAGCTGATAGTGACAATTGTATGCGCGACCGGCCTAACTTTGCGTCAGAGCGGCGTTGCGCGAAATCCTTATGCAAAAGTAAGTGCAGATGGCCAAAAGTCTTCAATGTTTCACAAAATAATTACAAAATTGGCTTTAATGTAATTAAAAAATGAAAATATATACATTAACGTATATAAATAAGAAATTGTATAATATAATATGTATATATTCTCATTAATTGCCATCTTCACAAACTTTTAACTCTAATTATCCCTCTTTATTTTTCCTTACACCCATATTATATGTACAGGTGTTCCTTTTACCCGATCGTGGTACAAAATCCAAAAGACGCACCAAAACCCTAGCTAATACCTGTGAACCACGTTGGGGTCAGACATTTGTTTATACAGGTTTAAGACGTTGTGACTTAACGGGTCGTTTACTGGAGGTAAGTAGGTCGACTTATCGCTGAAGTCTACGTTGAAGTAAAAACATTTGAGGAAACCTTATAATAATCAATAAAATCATAAATTAGGTAACGCTCTGGGACTATGTACGTTATGGTGCTAATGATTTCATAGGCGAAGTTGTTATTGACTTAGCCCATCATATACTTGACGACGAAGCTGAATGGTACCAACTGCAACCTCATCAGGATACTTCATATCTCGTATGTTTTGATTATATAGTTACTCTTTATATATATTGTATTAGTTTATGTGTTTTTTTCCATTAGCAATTTGTTATTTAAATCTTACATTTTAACAATGTAGGTTTCTTTACATTGCATAGGTATTGAGCAAACTATACCAGAACTACTACATAATTTTTCAGGGGCTGATTCAATTTTATAAAATTTAATTGACTATATTGGTTGTATACGTTCAAGTGCGCAAAAGTTCATCAAAAATTGTGACATAAAATCCATTTTACATTAAGTAATAGAAAACATACTTAATGCCTAGAAAAGGACTACTTTTTCCATAAGTAGGAGTTTGAAACTACATAATACTTTCATAAATATAATTTTATGCAGAGAGTTAGTCACCAACTTTTGGTACAATTGGACTCTTCTGGCCAGAGTACCGGTTTTTGGGCGATGAACCAAAAGCTATTAGGTAAAGCTATGTCGTTAAATTAGAGTGCATAGTGAAGTGTAAAAATGACTTCAAAACTAGCTTTGTATTGTGATGTCATATATTGACAGTGATGTACATCGATAACATATATCTATCCTTCACTACTCTATCATCAAATTTTCATTCTGAAATATAGCTTATAGATAGATTAGTGGAATATAAATACACTAAATTAATCCTAATATACCACACAAGCTTGATAAAGTAATCAACAGTTCACAATACGCAAGTTAATGTTCATTAACTACATAATCTCCTAAAGTTGTTACTGTAGTATATGCGTTTTATTAAAACATATGAAACTGTCTTTTAAACCCTTTGGAGGAAGAAGAAAAGAAAATACCTCAAAAACTTTCCTTTTTGCTCTCTCATATTAAACTAGAAATATTGAAGATATTCTCACATTGCCGCAGAATTTACTTCAGTTGCCTCTCGCTTTTCGCATGTTTTGATCAAATTTTTGATTAATTCAATGAGGAATCTTAAATACATAGAGTAAAATAGGTTTCTTTTCTAGGTAATTCTTTACTAAGAATGTAATAAAATTTTTAATTATATATATTTTTTTGCTTGCCCACTTGAATATCCCATAATTGCTTCCACCTAATTGGAGTAATCTACTCTTTGCATACTTTTGCGTACTTCAGTATAAGGGCGTCTCCAAGTTCCTGAAAGAAAAGTTTTTACTATTTCAATATAATACTCTTTGCATTTTTGATTTATAAAATATATTGTTGGATTTATTTAATTTAGTGGCGTTACATACTTTTGCGTACTTCAGTATAAGGGTGTTTCTCTAAGTTCCTCAAAAAAAGAAAAGTTAATTCAACTAAATCTTGACACCAAAAAATTTATGACAGATAAGAAGTGTATATATATTTGGTTAAACTGGTTGAGCTGGTTTTGCTGGGAAAAAGTTTTACAACTAAAAATATTATTTGTATAATAAATTCAAAAAAAAAAACAAAAAAGATCGAAATTAATTAATCAATTTTAACATAAAACCATAATAAATCGTCGTACTATATTCACTCATCTTCCATGTATTGCACTTTATACGTCTCCCTTTGCTCTTTCTTCGTTTATTTTATGTTTATCTCCCTACTCATCACAGTTACATCGCGATGACCAAAACGAAGCAGACGTTATGATTTTGACACCAACAGACCATTTATCACCGCCAAGTACCACATCACGTCTAAGCGATTCGGATACAATGTCTGAATGTGACATCGATGGAATAACGCCCGGACGTGATGGTGCAAGCATTTCCTCCATGGGTAGCTCATCAAGTCCACCGCCTGAGGTAACCAAAAAAAGAAAAAAAAAAAAAAACAGATTATTAAAAAAAACACAACTCTTACTCTCCAAAACCACTACAAGTACTGGTAAAAAAAAATTTTTTATTAAAACCAAAAAAATAATAATAACACATATTAACAATAATACTGTTGGTGTAGGTACAGACCTCTTTTCTCACACAAGCCACATATAGTGAAATACTAGAACAAAAAGGCACACTTACAGTGGCAACATAACTAACAACAGCAATACTTACAACTGTCAACAACAAACCTTAACAATTTTTTCTCTTTATTTGCTTTTGTTAACTAAATGTGTGCGATTCAGATTCAGATTCAGATTCACTTCATATAAAAATTCATGTAAAAATTGCATTCCGCATCAGAAATCATCTGCAGACCACATTCAACTCATGTACAACTGGTATCACGCCGAGTTTTACAACTCTCAGCTCAGTTCTCAATTGTGCTAACTAAAATTTAATTTTCCTTTAATAGCAACGATATTAAATTTTATATAAAATTTTTATGAATTATAATAAAAACACCCTGTATGTATAGTTTAATTTTTAAACATTGCGCAACACAATAATAAAGGTACTTAGATAGTGCTTGAATGGTTATTTCAACTATAATGCTAATATAGTTAAATTTCTTATCTCATATTTTTACTAGTACTCGGACTAATGTCCGGACAATACTCGGACTAGTGTCCGGACAATACTCGGACAAAAATTGGATGATGTGAAAAATACCTTTTTTGTGTTAAAAATAATTATTTTAAACAACTTCATATCATTTGAATAAAATAACACTTCTATTATGTTCAAATGTTAAATACATAAGGAGTTACCAATATTTCACTACATCTACACCACATGTACGACTGAGTACATAAGTACTATATATACTAATTAAGTGAAATGAAATCAATACAATATTCATATTTAAAATGTTTCCATGGAAGGAAATTAAAAGGATATACAATTTCAAGACATTCCTTGAACTGTCATTGTCATTTCAACCATTACATATGCATATATCCTTAGCATTCATATCGTGTATGACATTTTCATCTCTGCTTTGGGAAAACTAAAAAAATAATAAAAAAAAAATTCCTCTGTGTGCATTGGCTGCATTGAATGATATGTATTATTTATCTATAAGGAAATATTTACATTGCATATTGGAATTTACTCTTTGCATAAAATTTAGCAAAAGGAATCTAAAGGCTTTTGAAAACTATATATATAATAATAATAGACTGCTTTGATTTGAATTTGAATTTTATTCAAAATATATTATTATTGTTCAATGCTTATTGAATAAAAAGAATAATCTTGACGATTAACTAATAAATCTTAGCTTCATCTACATAAGTAAATACCACGGTGACATATATATGTACATTCATACATGTACATTGTTTATCCATTATTATTTATTCATTGTTTTCTCTTTGTGTTTTTATTTTTCTCTACATTTTTAAAACAATAGAATGCAATTATAAAAATAAAATACAAATTCATTTTTATAATTAAAATATTTCTATATACAATAATAATATAATATACATTGCTCTATTACAAATAGTTATTTGTGCACTTATCTATTATTGATTGAAGATCTTCTTTAGAGGTGTTAGTAACTAATGTACTATTTATGTTTTTATACGAGTCATAAATTCGAACTGCTAACAAATATTGTTTTATATAGAGAAACAAACGCCGATTCATATTCTGTCGGGACATGACATTAAGACCAGAATTCCACAAATATTTCATTTTCGTCTTTTACTATATATATATTTTTTTTTAAAGAAATTCACATTGCTTCGTTATTGTCCAAAACATGCAAAGCATCAATTTACTATGGTAGTGGTTTTCTCCTATGAGAATCTTGTCCTGTATCAGAATCTCCCTTTAAAGAACACTTTAGGCTCTGCCAAACATTTATTATGATTGGGAACAATAAGCCTAAATGAATCCTTATGACTGGTTAACGGCTAACGTATAGATATAGTATATGTAATCTATATATGCGTAATAACATAATTAGGTCATATAATATATTATTACCCCATAGTACCTTTTGAGTTGACAAAGAGAAACTTCTCTCAACTATATGTTATATAAATAATATAGTTTAAATATAAAATTCATTATTCCTCCCTAATTATTTTTTTACCTAAAACCTATAAACATATACCGTCTCAGCAGCTAGAATTACATGTCGAATCTATTATAAATGTAGAACGTCTGTCTGGATACACAGAAGCAAATCAGAGGTTTCTGGGTTAATTTCTGTTTTTACAGCGTATTGGACCATAGGACGGCATAAAGCAATGCTCGGTCTACTCTGCAACGCGTGTCTTCCAGCTATTGAAAAAAGGACAACAGAGCACCTGCTATGTCTATATCCAGGCTTGGCCTGAATCAAATTTCTTTGATATTTCTCCATTTCTTCCGAAGAATCAAAACATATGAAATATTTTTTTTTTTTATAAATTTTACATACAGTACTGTAACTGAAATTATTGACTTAACTATATTTAATAATATCATTTAATTATATTTATCAATTATTATAATTATTATTTTTAACAGTTATTTTAATTTTTAACAGTTTACAGAATTGAAACTATTTCTTTTTAAAAAAATTTAATGTCTATTATTATATATATATATACAAGTTCTACTTCAAAAGTTTGCCTCATCGCTATTATATATAATTAATATTAAGGATTTATACTTAATATTTTATTAGATTGAACTAAAAGAATTCCTTATAAGCACCACCTTTAAGGAATTTTTTTAATTCGGATTTATTTTATTCTAATAAACTTACTTCTAAACAAAGCTTTTAGATTACCTAACTTTTTATTGTTTTTTTTTTTAAAAACTCATATTTTTTTATATTCAATGTATTTTTCATAAGATAATTGTACCGGATTGGTGTTATGTGAAATTTTTTCTCTTCAAAGCCATGTCTCTAAAGTCTTGTCTTTACTGGTACTTTCTGCTATGTCTGTGTATGTTAATAAATTCTTCTACAAGTTTTAAAAGCAGAGGCTTTTAAAAATGTAAAAAAAAATTATTTTAATAAAGATATAATATTTTTTTGTTGCTTTAAGACTTTTAGTACTAACCAAGGTTCACTATGTCAAGCGAATTACATAGATTTTAAAAATATTATAACTTTTTACTATTTATTATAATTTGAAATTGAAACTTTAATAAGAAAATTGTGTGGTTTTAAGAATATTTATATATAGTATAAAAACTATTATATTAATTAATTAATTAATAAATCTCTCGTAAATAAAAATAAGTTTTAGCAATAAATTTAAAATAAAATTGTACTTTTTTAATTAAAAACAAAAAAAAATATTATTGTAAAATATAACTAAAAGTCATATTGTCTATTTAAGCAATTGATGTAAATTTATAATAAATTTTTGTATTAATAAGCAATTTTAAGAGAACACATACTTAGTAGCTTTTATATGTGTATTTCGATGTGTTTGTAAGCAATTAGCTTTTTACTAATATAATCAAAACTATAATTGCGTTAATTTAAATTAAAACCGCACTAGCTTAAGTAATCGTATCGCATGCCTAGTACTAAAATCTATGTGCTTTCAATATATTTTTTGTTTGGTGTACACATAGCTTTATATATTTATATATATGTAAAAAGATTTAGTACATATTTACTACTCAACATTAAGCTTATATACTTACCCACCATGCAATACCCTAGCAACTCCAAATAATTTAATACTCCCACTAATTTAGCCATAATATCCAACACACTTCCTTAAAAAATATATATACAAAAATATATAAATATATATGATAATATATATACACACTCAGCTGTACAAAATTTCTGTGTAAATTTGATTATTTACATATAGTATATTTTATTTTTATTCACTTAAGAAATAAACCTATAATTGCATATATCACTTTTATATATATATATAACTTTCTTTCTCTTTTTTCTTTATATTATTTCTCATGCTATAATATATATTCTTAAAAATCCTCTTATTGTGCATCAACCTTCATTCCATCTATAAATCCTTTCCGTACCCAAACTCTTTTGCTGTAAACTCCAAACGTAGCTCGATTTAAATGAACGTCGTTCAAGGCGTGACATGTCACCTCAAGGTCGTAAAAGAGTGGCCGGCATGGTAGCGCGTGATTATCGCACAGTATCTGGCATTGGACAAAGTTATCACAATCAGGTTTGCACATTTTCAATAATTCTTAAATATGTTATATATAAAGCAGCAACTCATAAAATAATTACGTTATATCTGAAGCGGTTACTTTCAAAAAAGAGGTCATAGAAATACCATAGTGTTATCTAAAACAATTAAAGGAGGTTAAATCCTACACTCTATTAGAAGTTAAAGAACCATATATATTCTTTAGAAAATCTAATTCAAAATTAATTTAATGTATTTAAATGATTATATATGTCTAATAAAATTAAGATTTGTGACCTTATAATTCACTGGCTTATGAGTGGGAGAAATTACATATAATCGTTTAGGGTATCCTTATTTATAGAACTAAAAATTAATGATAACAGCTTGTACCAATTTTACTTATTTATTTACTTTTTTCAGAAATAAAACTCGCAACGAAAGAACTTGTCTCACAAAAATTTCTACAAAATCTAAGCAAATTCATTAAATTAATCCAGTTTGTTTAGTTTGAATAGATTATTATATCCTGAATACTTATACAAAATTTCTGATTTACTTTATATGCAACCTTAACTAAAGTTCAATATACTTAAATATCCTTATAGAATATTTTGGTGATATTATAATCAAATCACAAGACGCCAAATCTGTGAGGTCCTTACATGCCCGATAAGGCTGCATATACATTATATTTTATTAATATTAGTGTATACATTGAAGCACATTAAAATAATCTCAGTCCCTATTAGTTTGTCACACACCACAGCTAACTACTATATATCTAAAAATTTAGTTTTTGAATATTTTTTTGCAATCTTTTTATAAACTTATAAACTTTTTAAAGCATTACTTAAAAATTTTTGCTCTATGTATTTGTAGTTTAAAATATTTTTCTTAAAAAGCTGCCTGAAAAAGTTACTAATATATATTACCTTTGACTCTTTACTTTTACTCACTATTTATAGTTTTTCCGTATTAATTTATATTACCTATGTATTTGTTCAATATCAAACACAAAACTTACATGGTTTCTTCATCTAATCGAAAACGAGGGGAATTGAAAATTTTTTTTTATTCCCTCTCAGTTAAGGGCAAATAAAATTACTCGTATATTTAAATAATTATTTTTAATAGCAGGCTGGTTCACAAAGCGGTTACTTACGTCGCAATGGTGCCACTACAGGTCCTGGTGGCATGAGCCTTAGTCAACGCAGTCATTCGGCAGCACCAAGCGATAATTATCACGGCGTTAGTGGTGGTCACGGTTACTATCGTAGCAATAGTCCACGTCGTGGTTCACTCTCACCGCCAGACGAACGTTATATAGACTATCAAGTTCTTCCAACACACGCCGCCGCTAGTACAGCGTACGGTGTACAAAGTGGTGGATCGGGTGCTGTTGTCACTGGTGGCACAGCTGCAGCAGCAACTGGCGCAACAACACAACAGACGCGCTTTCAATCACGTTCAGCAACTGCCACACCTACTGGTTCACCGAAGAAAAGACAACTGCCACAGGTAAATTAAATATTCAATTTAATTTTATTTAAAAATTTTATTTATAATTATGAAATACAATCTAATAATTGTTTGATGGAATGTGAAATTTACATAATAATATATTGTAATAAGATATTTATAAATACAATAAGAAGTACTAAATATTTATATCATTCCATTTAAAAGTATTTCTATCAATAACGAAGCATTTACTATAATAATTTCTTAAATTTTTCATTATATACCATTATCCGATCCAATTAACTTTATAAAACAAGTTTTATTTTTCTCAACTTTCTTATTAAATATGCCATTATATTCCTATCGGTCATGACAGCAATCCAACCGTCCTTTAACCAATCCCTTTTACATTCAGCGAATTGAAGCCAGTCACAAACATCAATCTGCAACAGATTACCCAGTTCATTATCCTCTTAGCATATATAAAATGTTCCTCTTTCGCGATTTTCCATTGTTAGCAATTTCGACTTTTTTTAATTAGAGCGTTATATTGCCTTCTTAAGACATGTTCTAACCACAACATGAGACTTCACTATATTAGTGTCCAGATGAGACTCGTACAACTTATCGTTATATCGAAGACCATTAAAAGAAATTTGATCGTCTATGCTTCTGCGATCTATAATATTTTGGGTTAATAATAGTGTTTAAAATTAGCAATTTTTAAAATGTTATTTTAGTTTATCGAGGGGACCTTCAACTTCTCCAGAGTAATAAAGTAGTTACTTACTTACTTAGTTAGATATTAATGACGTGAGTCGTCATTAGCCACGTGCAGAAGTAGAAGATGTGGACGTCCTTTATCAGCGGTTACCGAATCAAACATCTTTCTATTCGGAGTACTTTCCTCCTTTCGCACGACATGGCCTAGCCAGCGAAACCACTGAATTTTTATGCACTTAACTATGTCAAAGAATTTTTCTTTCGAATGCTTCTAAGCCCTTCTCATCACTGCTGGTTATTGTCCAAGCTTCTGTACCATACAAAAGGATAGACATGATAAAAGATTTGTATTACGTATTTTTTGTTTATTATCTTAAGCCGCGCTAATATCTGTTGGTAATCTGTGATGTTTCGTTAAGTCCCTAGGAATTTTTGGTGTTTACGCTAGTTCCCAAATTAATATGTATCCTGTCATATATATTATATGATATGAAGTATATGCAAATTATTAAGATATTTCCCTTATTTATAAGAAATTGATTATATTTATAATTAATAAATAAAAATTATTAATAACATTTTTTAAAAAAATTTTTCGTTAATTCTTTTTTCATAAAAATTAAAGGTACCGCAAACTTCACGCAGCGCAATGCTTCGTGACCGCCTAGGACAAGAATTTGACGAACGTATAGCGGGCAGTCGCTTTAGTCGGCATCGGACACGTCAACCGCACCATCAGGCTACATATCGCAGCACCGGAATGGGCGGCTGGGAACGTCATTATACTGGCCTCTCAGATAGCGATCTCCATTCAATGGAATCACGCATGCGTCCACGGCATTCCCTGTCTCCGGATAAGGATTTCATGGGCGAGTTCGGTGACTCCGATATGGAGTCTGTTGTAAGCGTAACCTCAAGTGCTTTCTCGACACAATCAGAGCGGCCACGTGGTTCACGTGGACTAAGGTAAGCGCTTTTTATATGTTTGAAGCTTAATACAGAGAGCAACTGAAAGCTTTTTACCACAAAGCTTTACATTTTGGGAAAACAAAATTAATGCACCATTTTTTGTTAGTATAAAAAGAACTAAAACCTTTATTTTGTTTCTTTCGAGCTCATTGAAAGTATTTTAAAATTTCACACCCAAAAATTTATTAACAGATTGGTAGATATACAAAATCAGAAACATGAAATTAAACAAAAAAATATGTTAGTAACATATTTGTTAATGACGACTTGTTAGAAAGCAAAACAAAATTTTCTTTGTTTATTTTCGTTGTTTTTTGCATACAAACAAACAACTCAACCATACAACAAACGCGTCTGAATTTTGTGTTTTAAACTGCTTTGTATGTCACTGCAAACTGACCATCAACCAACTGCAAACTTGCGACGAACTGACATAACCTCAATGACAATGCACACAAAATTTTGAATTCGATTATTTGCGAAATTGAAAAACAAATAATTTTTGTTTGAAAAACTCATTTAAATAAAAAATTTTAACAAATTCAAAAACCGAAATCAACTCAATCACTTTGCATGCGCATGCGGATGAACTCGTTTCTGCAACATAAACAATTATATAATTTCAAACAAAAACCAACAACAACAACACAACCAAACTGAACACAAAAACAATAACAAAACCATAACTCAAAATAAAAAAAAACAATCGAAAACAAAAACAGAAGCTTACCACGCAATTGGCGCATGCTGCTTGGCGCCAATAATAGCAACGGCGGCACTACACGTAGTCGCGTCGTCGGTCCGGGCGGTTTATTTGAACGCTTCCGCGCCAATACCATTGAAGTCGATGATTGTGATTTTTTACCAAATAGTTTGACAACAGCACCAGCAGCGTCAGCTTTCATGCATACGCCACCACAGTTGCATACAACAACAACAACATCTACAGAACAAATGCTGCTGCTCGAACAGCTTGAACAATTACAACAACTTGCACAGTTGGCTGCATCTGAATCACCACCGAATACAGCAATGACCAATCCACATCCACAACTAATACCAACACCACATCATTTATTACAACAACAACAACAACAACAATCACAACAGCAACCACAACTGCCAACTCAACTTATGGTGACCGACAATACCGGCAATTTAGTCGAACAAATTTTCGTCGATACCGGCGATACAAATTTATTATTATTGGACAACGACATGGCCATTATGCCGCCAACAAGCATGTTACATCCACAAATACAAACTTCACTACAACAACAAATACAACATCAATCCCAACCATCACACACTATACCCACACAGCCAGTCCATTCATTTAATCCACATCAGTATATACCACACATACCTGATTCCATACATTTTCCAGAATTTTTAACTCAGGCAGCTGATTTCACTCATTTCCCTGATAAAATGTTTCGCCGTAATGGCAGTACCCATACCAGTGGCGGAGGTTATCCCTTTATAGATCAATTACCCTCGTTTGATCAATTCAAACGTATTACAACACCAGTAATGAATTTTTTTCGTCACCCGAACTCCACGCTGTCAACAGCTAGTCATTCTCATGCACACGAGCATCCGCATTCCATTTCTACTTCGCCTTCATCGTACGTCGGCTATGTGCGTGATCATTTTGATAAGTCTTGCAGTCATTGTCAGAACGGCAGCCAACCGGTTGCTCTTTCGACAAATGCTGCACTCACCACGCCCGGCATTGCTATCGGCGCTTGCGATGATCCGTTTTGCATTGCGGATGCTCATCCCCATCCACAACATCATCCGGTTTCACATGCATTTACTGCTGAGCAGTTACTGCGTCGGCCTTCACTTTCCATGTATCAACCGTTATCTGAACCTTCACTGCCAACTATGGACCCGGTAATGTGCGACGAATGTGTGGATCAACATTTTTTAACTGGTATGACAGGACCACAATGCGATTTAGGTGCCGTACCAACATATCATGTGCATACACCAACACCAACTGCACACAAGAAAGCAAAATCTACATTAGCGCCACCACCTCAATTACCAACGCAGTCTGTTTTACGTTTATCACGACAACTAAGTGAAGATGCGCTCATTGCAGCTGTACCAATTGCTGAAGCAAAAGCCCAACCTACATCTATACTTAAGAAACCGAAAGTTGGTACAGCTACTGGTACTACATTAGACAGACGAAAAATGTTTCATGAAGGGCAATCACGTTCCTTGGACTATGATGATTTACATACTAAAAGTTGGGGTAGACGTCGAATACGTTATGAAGATGAAATTGAAAATCCTCCTCTGGATGATCTTTCTCGAACATATGGGTCTGAAACTAATATACGTCAATCATATATGGGCGCTAATGTTGATGCGAGAAATCCACTCAGTCATTCTCATTTCCTAGTTACTGACGATAAAATAGTCACAATAACTTATGATTCTGATGTTGGATGGACCAGACGTGGTGTAGCACCATCACTTTTTCGTGATCCTCGTCGTCGTTTTGATGCACGTAATGAACGTAATCATATGTCATTAGATTTACAACGTACGAATCAACAAAAACTTTATGGCCCTACACTGCCTTACTTAAAACGACGACGTAATTTACCACATCCACCAAGCGCACAAAATGCACACAACTTTTCTCCAGTTGAACCAGATTCAAACTTACCATTTCAAGATGAAGCCATGCTAACTGATCCAACAGCACATTCGTCTGCTACACTACCGCAAGGTGAAGCCTATATGAATGGTTATACAAGTGGTAGTGGTGCTGTTGAACGACAAGGTCCTATTGGTGAACCACACGATCCTAATCGTTCAACAGCAACTGGTACAACATCAACATCATACCAAGCACGTCATTCGTCAATAGCCTCAAAACGTAGCAAATCATCAATGGCCACCGGTGGTCAACGCACTCGTGCAGAACATTTACAACATGAGTCAGGTAGTGATCGCAGTAATCTCGTTAGCATTAATGACCAACCAGAATATTTTGAATACGATGATTACGGCGATCAAATCACAAATAATTCACACAATAATCGAAATTATCCAATGAATACAAGTAGTAGTAGTGTCGGTAGTAGTAGTGGTAGGCAAAAAGGGAAAGAAGTTTCATCCGTCATGGAACAACAGACGAAATCTAGTAGTGGGAGTGGTAGTGGTGGTGGTGCTTCTTCTACTACTGCTGCTGGTAATATCGTCGTCGGTAGTAATATTGCTAATAATGCTTCTTCTTCCTCTTTTGCAAATTCCCATCATGGTGTCGCTAACTCCACATCACCTAAACGTGCCTCATTGAAACATACAAATACAATAAACGACGCAAACGAAAACGTAACGGTTGACGGAACAACAACAACTACTGTACAAACAACAACAACAACATCAAATATTACAACATCAACCTCGCCTGCCGCGGCAACAACTACAACAACAACGAATAAAACAAATACTGATCCAAATGCTACTGGTACTGAATTAACCAATTCTGATGGAACGGCACTTGCCGACGATCCTGATGCGGATGCACCACTTGATGTTATTGATTGGGATGCCATTGATGCGATGTTGGATGATGATTTTAGTGAATATGATAAGGATAAGAATGGTGGTGAAGAAAAGAAAGATGAAACAAATTTCAGTCAAAGTGTTGAAGAAAAAGTTGGTAAGTAATTGAATACATAATATTTTTATTATTTGTTATTTTATTATTTTTTATTATGTATTTTTATTATTTTATTTTTATTATCCTTTTTTTTAATTTTTGATTACTATGAGTTAATTAAATTGGATTAAAGATGACGTTCTATAAATAAATTAATTTACGAATACGAATAATTTTTGTTTTATGAGAACTTTTATTAGATGAATAAAAACGCGATCGAATTTCTCTTCATCATTTATCTATATGAGACTGCATGCTATATGACTGGGTCTACCCTACAATGACTTTTGTCGAGGTTATGCCTCTGAGGATGAGGGATCAACCCTGCCTTTCTTTAGCTAGAAGAAGATCAAAAATCTTCAGAACCCCTCTCCTCACCGATCTGACTGAGCTGTCATCCTGTAATGTTAGACACCTGATCAAGTCTATAAAACTGTCAGGTTGGTTTTCCTTTACCTAATGGGAGAGTCTGATTTATACTGATTTAAATATATGTACGTACTAATGATATTCCTGTAGTACCACAATGGATCATTATTTGAGCTTAAATGGCTTTTTGAAAACAAGGCCGCCACTTCAACCTACTTACCTTTATCTATATTTTATTCCAATCTAAAACTATTTTTTATTTGTGACTAAAACATTGCCAACATTGCTATTCCTGTAGTACCACAATGGATCATTATTTGAGCTTAAATGGCTTTTTGAAAACAAGGCCGCCACTTCAACCTACTTACCTTTATCTATATTTTATTCCAATCTAAAACTATTTTTTATTTGTGACTAAAACATTGCCAACAATTTATTATTATAATACAAATATTTTGATATGGATAAAGAAATAATTTGTAGTTGACTATATAAATCGCTCTGATTAAGTTATAAAAACTGAAAAAATGAATGTTTCTTGAAAATCATATTTCTCAAAAAATCGTAAGAGAACTCTATTGTAACTTTGTCCTAAATCTGCCTTAAGAATCAGGCATGAAATTGCTTGAATATATAATAAAGCCTTAATTGGAGTAACTACGAAAATTAAACTTTTACTTGTATTAAAATTTTGGGTAGGAAGGACGTTATAATGTTTTCTAAATCAAATATAGTCATTTTTAAATTCGTTTTTAAATAATTATCAGTTTGTGCATCTACATATATTGGATGTCTATAAGGTGTCAGAGAACGTTCAATAAAATCAAAAATATAAAATTATGTATGTTAGATATGTTCAAGGCATTAGAGAACGTTCAATAAAATCATATGGGAGAGTGGAAAGATCCATATCTTATAGCAACCGTAATATAAAATGAGAAAAAACAAAAATTATATAATTTTTATAAGTTAAATAATTTATACATTTTGAACCAAAACAAATTTATAAATTAAAATTATTGAATTTATAAAAATGAGTTATTTTCATATTATTGTCATTATTTTATTATCAAAACATCGCACCATAAAAAAAATTTTAATTCAAATTTTTTCATTTCAAATTGTTTTTAACTCATCTCCTTCAGATGGTAGTTTATCTGATACAGCGACTGATCGTAAGAAAGGAACTGTGGACCAAGAACGTTCTCCAAAGAGTGGTAGTGGTATGGGTAAAAAATCGAATTCTACATCACAGCTCTCAGCAACAGGTAAGTCCGAACGTTTTGTTGCAATCTTACATGCCATTTAAAGTAATGTAGTTGCCAGTTAAGCAGCATCTATATAATTACCGATTTTATATGCTAAAAATTATAACCAACTTCATGCTATATCTTAACCAAATCAAATACCGATTTATTCACTGCCGATTTTTTGCATACTTGACTGCATTTTTATATTCATTTGTTTTAATTTATATTTACTTATGTTTTTCATTTATTATTTAAACTAGTACTTAGAGAGTTTAATATTTATTTTTCATATTGATTGCGCGTATCATATTAACGTTAACTAACAAAAAAAAAATATAATAAAAATTTTTGATTTTTGATACTAATCTACAATAATACCAAAAAAAAAAAAATAAATTCAAATTCATAATCAAAAGGTCGTAAAAGACGTATGGGCTTTGGAAAAAAGGGTAAGAACTCATTTACGGTGCATCGCAGTGAAGAAGTTCTGCCAGGTGAGATACGTGGGGCGCTATCGCGTGGTTCATCTTCAGAAGCAGATGGTGGCGAAGCATTCACCGATGCTGGTGCCGGTAGTGGTGGGGACAGGTTCGAACAAACTATATATTAGTTTTTTTTTTTAATTCTTATTTAAATTAATAATTTAATTTATTTAATTTTTGAATTATTTTTATATTTTTTTATATTTTCTTTTCTTCTGTTTATAAGTAAATTATGATTTATTATATATTGCTTTCAAAGGATGATAAACATAAAAAACTACCCGATTTTTTTAATGACAATTAGTTTTAAGCTTTGAAGGATTGTAAAAGTTCTTTGCAGCTTTAAGCTCAAGCTGCTTACGAAGACCTCTCTGTAAACTTTGTGCTAAAAATTATAAAGAATTTGAAATTTTGCTAAATAAAAAATAAAATAGAACTTTGAAATTATTAGGGAATGCTAAAATAACTTTTCCATGTCATAACTTATTTTACTTCTTAAAAACATTATTTGACTAAAAAAGCTTAGAAATTAAAAGTTTTTGTAAAAGCATTAAAAAGCTCTTGGCGCTTTGGCATGCTTCCCGACTTATTTTATTATCTAGGAAAACCTTTAAAGAAAAATTAAAGCTTTTATTTTTATATTATCGTACACTATCCTCTCGTATTTTTACTCGTATTTTTTGCGATAAACCCCTATTTCAGTTGTACAACAAAACAATTTATTTTTACAAAAACAAAGTTAACTCCAAAGTCGATACGTATTTTTAGGCTTTTATTTGCTAAAAAGTTATTAACAAAAACACGTTTTGTTAAACGGCAATTCCGCTAAAAGCTATCATGTTCAGAACCTTACATCCGGTGTAGAAAGAAGAAGGTAGCCATGAAAGCTTTTAGCAAGGAATTGTTGGTTGCGTTTAAAATTTTTTATTAGCTTTAAAGCTTCAATATTATTGAGCTTTTTCAAGCGCATTTTTAATAATATTTTCCGTTTGAACAGTAATGCATTTTCATTATCATTTAAGAACAATTTTAAAAAAGTAGCATTAATTTGACCTTTCACATGAGTTCGTAGAATTGAAGTTAACTAACAAAGCGTGCCCAAAAATAATTTTCCATAATTTTTTTTACTAAAACTAATATATTTATTAACTAAACAAAACATTTTGCTACCATTTCGTTGAAAAAACATAACACATATATTTTTGTTGCTATTAAAATATTTTTGTAAAGTTTGTATTTAATTAATTAAAGTAAATATGCATGCTTTTACACTAACAAAAAAAAATTATTAAGAAGATTTTAGACAAATTTATTTCAGCGAAAAATTACACTGGAAAATGTGGTAAGCTACGCCAATCCAATTATAAAGATCTATTAACCTTATATCATATCTTCTTATATAAAAATAAATATATATTTACAAATTGAAAGGACCATTAGGATTAATACTACATAAGTAGACGTCATTTGTAGGATCATAATTTCATTGTCTATAGTACTTTAAATTCCATTTGCTTTTTTCTGTTTTGTATAAAAATCCGCTTAATTTACCCTATATCAAATTTATCTACATTAATTAAGATAATTTTCATTAATATAAAATCGAAAATTAAATTTTTTATAATAATTCTTTGATATACTATATATGAGTAAAAAAACATATAGTATATCAAAACATATAGAATAAATATAAATATAAATTATTTTTATATATATAAATGACAAAAAAAATTTTAAATTATATAAATTAAAATTAGTGAAGTCAAAAATAACAAAGGACTTGTAATCCAAAAATTATACACGGGCTTTAATAGCCAATAATCTTTCCGATAACCATTGGAAATGTATATCATAATATATGCTATATATTACATATATAGCATATATATATATTATATATATGGCATATATATATATTATATATATGGCATATATATATATTATATATGTAGCATATATAACCAAAAACGCAGATCGTAAAAATAGTCGAAGATATTTTGCAAGGACTGAATTATTATCTCAAAAAATAATAATAGAAAAAAATAAGTTTTTTATATATTGTAGATTTTTATGTATCTAAGTTATTGTAAAACCAAAAATAAATTCATTATTTTTTAAAAATCATATTTAAAAAAATGTGTCAAATAAAAAGAAAATATTAATTGCCAAAAAAAAAAATATTTGATGAGTACTTGGCAATACTCGAAACAAAGTTGACGGTACAACTTCAAATTTCAATAAATTAAATAAAGTTTTTGTTGTTGTCTTTTCATTTCTATTCAACCCTTCTACCTTTTAAATAGTTTATTCTCGTCATAAGACGCATAATTCTCAGCAAAAAAATTAACATTTAAAACTATTTTGGATACGTAATAAAACATGTGTTTCTAGCGACATTTTATTGTATATAAAATGGATACCTCGTTATTTACTTTTTCTTTAAAAATATAATATATAAAATAAATAAAATATGCTATTCTATAACCCCAATGCGAAAGACTTCAAATCTTATATATTTTATGTAGAATTTGTCTTAAGTTTGTGGGAAATATTACTGATGCAACGCAATTACTATTTGCATCTTCCACTCTTACGCATTTCTTCAAATTAGAGAACTTAGATATTTTCGTAAGTAGCTTAATTATACCATTAACTTAATTAATTAACTTGGCAATGACACCACATTTATCTGAATAAGTAATAAGGAAAGTGTACTATGTACTATATATATATCAGTAATATTATCTTTCAGTTATGGGTTTAATGGACACTAAACCAGCGGTTTTTATAGCGTTTCCCATTTTTTCCGAAAATGCGCCTAGTACCTTCATTTAACTTTCATTAAACCTATACATATCTGCGAGTAATAAACAATATATAATGATCTTTTTAAAATTCTCAATATGCTTCCATTTTTCATTAAAGGATTTTTTGTATATATCAGTAATACATAAGTTTATATAATACATATACAATAATGTAATACTTTTCTATTATAAGTGATTCCCATTCTAATACTGTACCTAAGTTAAGTTCAACACAGTTCGATGTTAAAAAATTGTATATAAAAATCGACTCAGTTTGTTTAACCGAAGAAACCAGATAGTCGAAAAGCCCTTCAGGTAAATACAAATAAATTTGTTCCAATACACGACTGAAATTAATTATGATATTATTTAATGAATCGTTACAATTATGTGTAAAGACAACTCATCATGTATGTAGGAAAACTACAGTTCACTCCATGTTTTAATAGCCATTAAATTTTTTTTTCATTTAATAGACGTGAAAATTTTTATTCGTGGAAGCCAATGAAAACTATGGGAAAATTCATTATCTTTTATTACCATTTGGAGAATATACAATCTAATTTCGAAAAGATATGATAAATTGAAAGTGATATGCATTTTTTATGTACAGAAAATTAATTGGTAATGAAGCTGAAATTAAGCTATTAATTACATATATGGGAAAATTGCTATTACATCTTAGTAGTGGACTTTAAATGGGTTATAGAAAATGTTTCCCTCCGGAAAAGGTTGTTATTTTATCCAAAACTTTGTACACAAGCTATGTGTGAAACTTTATTTTAGTACATATTTAAACAAATAAAATTGAAAATGAAACATAAATAATACAATGTATCATCAGTATATTCGCACTGCAGTGCCGTGGTATTCTTACATTTATGACGTCATCATGCTCGCACTACAGTGCAGTGGTATTATTACTATTACTATTGTTTATATTAAACAATATGTATCAGCAAATCAGAGAAATCAAATTTTTTTAAGAACTTAAAAACTATGTTAGAACAATATATACGTCATCATGAATATAACGGGGGTTGTCGAGTCACACCCCCTAGTTTTATGTATATATGTTAAGTATGTCCTTATTTACAAATTTTAAAAATACATTATAAATTTTTATTATATTATATTATCAATTTTCAATAATACATTAAATTAATAACTACTCTATATTTTAATAATTTTATTTTAAATATATATGGTATAATTAATTTTTTGAACTGTTAATATTAAATAAATATTTTGATTTAAACTTAAATACATTAAAGCAATTTTAAAAATAGTGGCATTGCATATGTATTTATATATATACATATATGTATATAGATTATATATATAATGTATATTACATATTATATATAATATATATATGATGTATTATAGACTATACATTATATGTTATATATTATATATTATGTATTAGGTATTATATATTACATATTGTGTTATATTATATTATTATATATTAGTCATATATTATATTATTATATTAGTCAACAGTTTTTAATGATTACATTAATATTGTCAATTACAAAATTATTAACTATTTGTTGACTAAGCTACTTATATATATAGCTTATGTTGATATATATTATTAATAATAATGAATAAATAAAATAATGAATAATGTAAATAATGAATTATTTACAGAGATTATTGATTTATTTGATTTTCATATGAAATAAATTAATGAATTCACTATCAGGACTATATCCTTTTTTGTATTGTAAGTGTATTTGTATTTGTATTTTGTATACATTTTTGTATTCTTTTTTATTTTTTAATTTATATATAGGTTTATTTTCAATTATTTCAAACCCATATCTTTTTTCTTATAGTCTTATATATGTATATGTGTCTTTAAATATTTATATTATTATATTTTTATATTATTATTTCTTATATATATTAATGTATATTACTTCTAATACATTAATATATTTCTTTTATTTTTGAAAATATGCATAAATCCATATTTCTAAATGTTTTTTTATTAAAATTTTAATTATAATTAATTAATTTTTTTTAAAAACAATTTTGTTACTTTTTTATTAATAATTAATAATTAATTTTTAATTATTATTAATTCTGTTAATTCGTTATAGCAAATCTTTTTATATGAAAACATTTCATATAAATCTATTTTCATTTTTTTTTTCAAAATATTTGTGTGTTTTATTTTGTTTCTTAGTATTATTGTTATATATTAATATATTATTATGTATAGTTTACTTTATTTTTATATATTAACGTTTTTGGTTTTAAAAATATTTAAATTTAACGATGTTTTGTA